GAGTAAATGGAATATTAGTTATCTTTGGGAAATATGGCATAAACATAGACCAGATTTTTTATTTTTATCCGAAACAAAGCAAGACTTGGAGTTTGTACAAGGATTTCAATCGCACTTTGGGTATGATTGCCTCGCCACGGTGGATCCAGTTGGGAAGAGTGGTGGTTTGGCTATATATTACAACAATGAGTACGAGATAAAGATTTTGTATTCAAGCAATCAAATTATTGATACGGAGGAAGTGGTAATGGGAAAAACGGTTTTTCTCACCTTTGTGTATGGAGAACCGGTGCAAAACTTAAGGAAGCAGGTATGGGAACATTTAACGAGATACAGGTTAACACGATCTTAACCATGTTTTATTATTGGGGACCTAAATGAGATGACTGGTAACCATGAAAAAGAAGGGGGGAGCTTTGAGGAATGCAGCTTCCTTTGTCCCATTTAACAACATGATACGAATAGTGGTTTTTTTGTATTCCCGGCACGGGGAAATAAGATGTCGTGGCAAGGGCGCCACAAGAGAGGAAAATGGTCTGTTATGATAAGATGTCGCCTAGGTAAAGCATTAGCAAATGAAGAATGACACACAGTCTTTCCATGTTCTTATACGGAATATCTGGGGATGGTGGGCTCAGATCATCGACCAGTAGTAGCCTATATGGAGGACAATGTTCCAAGAAAGAGAGGAAAATTTAGATTTGATAAGAGATGGATTGGACATGAGGGGCTTATGGAATCCATTGTTTCGGGTTGGACAGAGAACAAATGATCATACTATGGATCTAGTTACAAAAATCAGTAACTGCAGGCACGAAATTGCTAAATGGCGAAAGAATAACCCACCTTATGGAAAGGAAAAAATCAATGATTCAACGTGCATTGGAAGAGGTACAAATGGATAACAATAGATCACATGAGGACATATTAGAGGTATCTAGGAAACTACAAGATGCATATAAGGATGAGGAGGAGTACTGGTACCAGAAGAGTCGTAATATGTGGTATTCATCGGGTGATCTTAATACTAAATTTTATCATGTGTTAACAAAACAAAGGAGGATGCGTAATAGAATTGTGGGGCTTCATGATGATGGTGGGAATTGGATAACTGATGAAAATGGGGTGGAAAAGGTAGCGGTAGACTATTTCGAAAATCTATTTACTACCACCTCTCCATCTGAATTTACTAGTTTTTTGGAGGAGATCCCAACAACAGTTACCACCCAGATGAACCAAAGGCTTTTACGAGTGGCGACGGAGGAGGAGGTTAAACAAGCTCTATTTATGATGCACCCAGAGAAAGCTCCCAGATCAGATGGAATGACAGCGCTTTTCTTCCAACATTCTTGGCATGTCATCAAGCAAGATTTAGTTGAGATGCTGAATAATTTTTTAGTCTCAGAGGTTCTGGATGCAAGGTTAAATACTACCCATATTTGTATGATTCCTAAGACGGAGAGACCTACACGGATGACATAACTTAGACCGATAAGCCTCTGTAATGTGGGGTACAAAATTATATCAAAGGTTATGTCTCAGCGGTTGAGAAGTTACCTACCAAATATTATTTCAGAAACACAATCGGCATTTATGGCGGGAAGGTTAATTTCGGATAATATCCTCATAGCTCAGGAGATGTTCCATGGTTTACGAACTAATAAGTCTTCTCAGGAGAAATTTATGGTGATCAAAAACGAACATGAGTAAAGCTTACGATAGAGTGGAATGAGAATTCATCAAGGCTTTACTTCACAAAATGGGTTTTGATAACCACTGGATCACTCTTATAATGGAGTGTATCTCATCGGTTCAGTATCGGATACTAATTAATGGTCAACCACGGGGGCTCATCACTCCACATAGGGGATTAAGACAAGGGGACCCCCTCTTGCCCTACCTATTTATTATGTGTACCGAGGCATTAATCACAAACATAAAAAAAGCGGAGCGTCAAAAACAATTGACAGGGATGAAGCTTGCTCGAGCGTGTCCTTCGGTATCTCGCCTCTTGTTTGCAGATGATAGTCTTTTCTTTTGCAAGGCACAACCGGAAGAGTGTCAAACTATTATTAGGATTCTCAAGGAATATGTGGCCGTGTCGGGCCAATTGATTAATTTTCAAAAGTATTCCATTCAATTTGGACATAAGTTTAGAGAAGCACACCGACAGGAGTTGCGGGATATATTAGGAATTTAAAATTTCGGAGGAATAGGATCTTATTTGGGATTACCAGAGAGTCTTGGCAGATCCAAAATCCAAGTGTTTGGTTTTGTTCAAGAAAACTGAGTAATAGATTCAATGGATGGACTTTCAAGTTTCTTACTAAGGGAGGAAAAGAGATAATTATTAAGTCATTGATTACGGCTTTACCAAATCATGTAATGTCTTGCTATCGGATATCTAAAGCGAGTAGAAAGAAACTAACGAGCAGTACAGCCCAATTCTGGTGGAGTCCTGGAGGGAACACACAAGGAATGCACTGGAAATCATGGGATAAGCTGTGTAAAGATAAGGATGAAGGAGGCTTGGGCATCAAATATTTGGGCGATTTCAATACGGCTATGCTTGGAAAGCAATTATGGAGACTAATTAAGAGACCACACACCTTATTTGCTTGAGTCTTTAAGGGTCGGTATTATAGGAATTCTTCACCCCTGGAACCGATCAGATCATACTCTCTATCATATGGACGGAGAAGCATGGTTTCTGCTAGATCTCTGGTTAGCAAAGGACTAATTATATGGGTGGGATCAGGATCATCCATATCTGTATGGAATGATCCATGGCTCCCAACCACTCGCCCGAGACCAGCAAATAAAAATCAACATAATTTGTTTCCGGAACTTACAGTTGACTCTCTCATCAATGTTGCATCACGAAGCTGGAATATACAAGCAATTAGAACTTTAGTGGATCCTCAGGATTCCAAATTTATAGAGAGTATACCACTCAGTATGTATCACATGGAAGATAAAGATGGATGACATTTTACTAAGAATGGAAGGTACACAGCCAGGTTAGGATACCAAGTTGAAATGGTTTACCCTGATAAGGAAATGATACCTGTATTTTTGGGACCCACAGTGGATTCACTGAAGGCATATTGTTGGAAGGTACAGAGCCAGATAAAACACTTCTTATGGCAATTGATATCATGGTGTATAGCTGGAAGAAGAATCTAAATGCGCGAGGGATACAAGGGGATACATGTTGTGCCAGATGTGGAGCTAAAGAGGAATCAATAAACCATGTGTTCTTTGAATGCCCTCCAGCATGCCAAGTCTGGGCATTATCAAAGATACCCTCTAATCTAAAAGATAAGAACATGTTGGAAGAAATGTAGTGGATTATTGGATACTTGATCGGCTTTTAGTACTTATGATGGCGTCTTCAAAACCTATGGCGTACGAGAGCTTCTATAAAAGAGAAACGGTGGAAGAGGGGAAGACGACAATGTTTACTATGTACAAAATAATAGAATAGAACATCCATAAATAGTACAATCAATACATAATCAAAGTAACACCCTATCTCCAATCTCATCCATCCCATAAATACTAAACCCTAAACTCTAGCTACTCACCTCTAAAACCTATTCACAAAACCTTAAACCTTAAACCAAAGTATAGATCATAAACTCAAATAGAATAAAACAAAATACATTATATAGTACATATTGGTGAACGAAATAGAACACTCTTTATTAATTGTCAAATGGAACGATACATGTTCACTAAACCCAAACTCAACTCTGCCCTTCCAAATCCTCCTCATGTAACGATATCTTGATCGACTCTGTCCATCGAAGGTTGAAATAGTTATTAACTCTATTTCCGTCTAATTGGCTCATACACAGTCTCAAACAATCTGCTTGACAACTATAACTCATCCATTCTTATCCTGAAAATACGATATATAAGGTTGTTAGTAGTCACATACATAAGCCCATGCCACATAAAATGGAACACAATTACAAATACTACTACACCAGCGTCCAACAACATCTTCTATGTGCGCAATCGTGAGAACTATTCCATGTATATATATTTCCACGAATGGTTTCAGTAATATGCTGATATAAATATATTCCATTTGAATATAATGCAAACGGTAGATTGAGAAGAGAATCTAAACAACACGAAAATTCAAACAAGAACACGTAAAGAATCAATGCATATAGACAACAATCGGATCCATACTATTTGATTAAAAGTATGTACTATTTTTGGGTCAATTATATGTAAAAATCCATATTAGATACTATATGTGCAACTAAAGGCAAAATAGTGTAGCCATGTAATGACATGGAGAAGAATTAAAAAATCCGTAATATTATATGAACATAAAGCCATACGAAAATCCAAAAAGAAACACACAACCACCAATGCAACTAAATGCAGCAGTTCCATACTATGTAATTAGACTCGTACTATGTCATGAATGAGGAATAGAAACAATCATACTATACTAACTTAAAACCACAAACTTGCGGTTCCAATTCTTTATCGATCCCGATTACGACATGTAATCTCATAGGAAGGTATAATCAAAGAATTTAAGAAAATCAAAAGGGATAACCTCTGTAAAGTTTCGTCCTCTACTTATCTCTGAGGAAATCTTTTCCGAACTTAGTAACAAGAGCTCAAAATTTCTACACATGCAGCAGACAATGCGGGTAGCTCACGAACCACAACACTCCTGAATTTGTCAAAACCCTTCGCTAGGTATACAGTGGTTGTTGTCGACGTTCCCACAGATCTGAGACCTTCTCAACTAAAAACAATATGTACAGTTTTGGTAAAGGAAAAGAGGCCACAACTTAAATAAGAGAAAAATAAAAAGTTATTTTTATTTTTAAAACTTTCCAGATTAACCGGTTATCTATAGGGACTTAAAAATATTATTATACTATTATTATACATTGTATCTTAGCATAATAATTTTTTTTACGTTATAGAGCCCAATTTCCCCATTACTAAATATGTAAATGACAAAAGATATCTAGTTAGCGTGATTATTGTTTGGACCGACGACAAATATTTTAGCGTGTAGCCCACGAGGTCGTCTTTTGTGGGTCCCTTTTTTCTCCTCAGAACCAATCACCGACCTCCGAATCGTTTCCAGCCTCCAAAAACCCAGAACCTCCTCAACGAAACGGCGAGCCTCTGTACCCTAAGACCGAATCAAACTCGATGAAACAATGCTCCACGGTCTGAAAACCATACAAAACAACAAGCTTTCCTCTCGAGAAGCTCGTCTCTCGCCATGACCCTCTTCTCTAGGTTCGTCTCTGCTTCACCTCTCTTTATCTTTTGCTTCCCAATTTCATGGAGACTGCACAAAATTGCTTTCTAGGTCTAAAAAGTTACAAAGTTTCAATTTTTACTTTTTCCTTTGATTGGATTTTTCTAAAGTTGAATCCTTTTTGGTGGGTTTTTGATTTTCCTGCAGATTCTTGGTTACTAAAATTGCTACCAGATACACACAATCTCTTTACTCTAACCAGAAACGTGGAACATCTGTTAGGGTTTCTCTAGTTTTGCCTCAGTTCAGAAACTTTAGTAATGGGTATCGTCAAAATCATTCATTGGCCCTTGTCCCTAGATCTATATGTAGTCGTCTTTTCTCACGAAGCTATTCCATTGCATCTGCAAGCTATGTAGTTAAACAACACGCTCAAGTCTCTTTGAAATGGTTTCTTCAAAGATACTCTCTCCAATGGAACTTCCCTAGGATAAGCATGGTTGCTCAAGCCTTTTGCTTGTCTGTAGCTCGGTCACACTTGTTAGTACCTGGTGTCTTGGCTCTCACTTGTAGGAAAGTGGCCTGGGCGCAAAGACCGGCTCCAAATCCGGTTATATTACGGTCTCCTCCTCAGCAGTTTTCTCTGTTTAGGAGTGCGGTGAACATCCCTGTTGTTGTCTCCACTTTGTTGCTTTCTGCAATGGAAAGTATGGTTCTGTTCGGGAGAGCTCTCTACTTAGCAGTTTTGCTATCTCCTAATCTTGTAATGGCGTTTTTGGAGTTTTCATGCGGGCCTCGGTTTAGAAAGCTACGGCATGAGGTCCTCCATCGAACTCTGGAAAAAGCTGGTCCTGCTTTTATCAAGTTCGGTCAATGGATTGCCACAAGACCTGATCTGTTCTCCAAGGATTTGTGTTTACAGCTTTCAAAGCTTCACAGTAACGCTCCTGAGCACAGCTTTGAGTTCACCAAAAGAACCATCGAAAATGCATTTGGTCGTAAGCTCTCTGATATATTCGAGGATTTTGATGAGGCGCCAGTGGCCTCTGGGAGCATAGCTCAAGTCCATAGAGCTACTCTGAAGTTTCAGTATCCAGGACAAAAGGTTAAGTCCTCGGAAGTTGCTGTTAAAGTTAGACATCCTTCTGTTGAGAAAACCATGACAAGAGACTTTGTGATTATTAAATTGGCGGCAAAGTTAACTACTTTCGTTCCGGGTTTGAATTGGTTTAGATTGGATGAGTGTGTGCAACAGTTTAGCTATTACATGTTGTCTCAAGTTGATCTATCAAGGGAAGCTTCTCATTTGAGTCGGTTTATATACAACTTCCGTGGATGGAAAGATGTCTCTTTCCCCAAGCCTGTCTTTCCTCTTGTGCATCCTTCTGTTCTTGTTGAGTCATTCGAGCACGGAGAGAGCGTGGCTCGTTATGTAGATGGCTCAGAAGGACATGAATGGCTTAAGTCCAAAGTAGCTCATATCGGAACTAATGCTCTCTTGAAGATGCTCCTGGTTCTGCCTCTTGAATCCTCTTTTTGTTCATTTATAACTTGAAGAAGAATCTCATCTCATTCTTGTTTCTTTTGCTTAGGTGGATAACTTTGTTCATGCTGATATGCATCCCGGGAACATTCTTGTCAGGAAGAACGGTGCTAAAAGAGGTCTGTTCAGGTCAAAGAAGCCACACATTATCTTCCTTGATGTAGGCATGACTGCAGAACTCTCAAAAACCGACAGAGACAACCTACTCGGTTTTTTCAAAGCGGTTGCACGTAGAGATGGTCGGACCGCCGCTGAAAGAACGCTTAAGTTGTCTAAACAACAGAATTGTCCTAACCCACAAGCCTTTGTCGAGGTCAGATCTTTGTTATTGTTTATATATGTAAATTTATATATTGCGTCATGCAAAATATCTACATCTCTGTGGTGTTTACATATATACACACATTGTAACAGGAAGTAGAAGAAGCGTTTAGGTTCTGGGGAACAGCAGAAGGAGAATCAGTTCATCCAGCAGATTGTATGCATGAGTTGTTCGAGAAAATGAGAAATCATAGAGTTAATATCGATGGCAATGTGTCTACTGTGATGTTTACAACATTAGTTCTCGAGGTGAGTTTCTTGATGTTTTGAGTTTTGCTTCATATCTTAAACACTACTGAGGTTTGAGCTATATGTTTTCCATTTGTTTAGGGTTGGCAACGGAAGCTCGATCCAGGGTATGACATAATGCGGACGCTACAGAAAATGCTGTTGAAAACGGATTGGATGAAATCACTTTCTTACACGGTTGATGGACTGATGGCTCCTTAGATTAAAAAGTTTTATTTTTATTATTATTTATTTATACACATATTTGAATCCCTTTTGAGAGCCAACTTTTGTTTTGACTAGAGTGTTGAAGAAACACATCTTTTACAGAAAAAATAACAAAAGAAAGGTTCAATTTTTGTTTTTATTTGAGTCTAATCATCTCTCTAATTACATGACACTTGTGTATACACATATCAGTATTTGTTATTATGAAAATGAACTCAAAACAACTGTCTCAATTTTTGTTACTATTTCACTTTCTGCATAAATTAAAATCTATGACAGACTCAAATTTGTGTTCTTATGAGCTGTTCTTATGGGCTGTTCTTATGAGCTGAGGCATTAAAGAATCACTTTTGTGTTCCAAAATATTTCTTTAGTTAATATTTGTAAATCATGAATCTAAAAACCAATGGAATAGTTAATGGAAGCATTTTTTAGTTTCTTTAAATATTTAAAATGTAGCTACTCTAGATGAAGTTTGCTCTAACTACTAAAAAAAAAAAAAAAGTTTCAAGCAAATTTATAAAAGCATAAACACTAATCGTAGAAATGAGTTTATCTAATAATTTGCAGCAGTTAGGTTGGCTTAGTTATATCTAGAACGAGCCGTTACCGATGAGCCAAAGCCAACCCAAACAAACACCAGCGAAGATACCTCCCAATAGGAAAACGCACAACAAGTTACCTAATGCATTCGATTCCGGCCCCTATAAATAAGAATACACAGATTACAAAATTAGATATATATAACCAGTTTTAAATCAAAGATATATATATATATATAAAATAGCTTACATTGTATCCCTTTGGTGCAATGCTGAAGATGCAGACGGTTAAATAACCATTGCTCAATCCCAAGAAAGAGGTGAGGAAAAGCATCCATCCCTGGTCCGCATATTTTGCAGTGAAGTAAAACGCCGGAACAAGCAAGAAACGCGCAATAACACAGAACGTGATCCATTTCCTAGATTCCATTGCTATAATTTTGATCGAGGGGAGGAACCTGGCGATTGAATCCCACCCATTGTACATGGCTATTAGGACCGGTGCATACCTTTTATTTAACACATGAGACACACAAAATGGTTTTTACATAACCAGTATATATGCATAGTAACGAAATATATGAACTGAATGCTTGTTACATACCAATCGCCCAACCGGTGTTCTCCTGTGTTCTCGTAAAGAAAACCAGGGAAAATCGATAGTGTAACAACGTAAATCAAGAAGAGATTCATCCCGTGATCAATGTTTTGACGTAGCAATTGCTTCTTAGTTAGTCTTATGATCTTGGTCTCGTCCATTTGTTGAACCTTTTGTTAAGATCAAAGTTAAACAGAGAGGCTATTTAATTAGCTGAATGAAACCATTGTACTGGATTAAAATAAACATTAATGTGTTTTTGGTTTTAAATTTAGAGTTATTTAAAACCTGTTGAGCTTGCTCTTGGAGGCCGGCAGCAGCTAGATCTGCGGCAACAGATTTGGCGCCTTCTTTCCCAGCTTTGGAACGGTAGTATTTTACTATTGGGAGCTTAGCAAAGACGGTCACATATAGAACGAGACATCCTAACTCGATCAGTGTAGCTATTCCTATGAACAACACTGCAAAAAAAAAATAAAAACATGATGATTAAGATTATCTTCATTTATGTAATAAGATATAACAAAAATCTTAACGAAAAGTTAGAAGTGACATTACAAGCGCCTTTTCGGAGACCATCTGAAGACTTGTCGAAGATTGCTTTGGTAATAAGCCTTAAACCGGACGTTAGAGCCCCAGCTATGCCTAAGCCTCCCATGAATGCCTTATAAACACAAGATAAAACATGATAAATACTTTTAGTTAATTCATTTTAGTGACGAGACAATCTATCACTAAAAGACCAAAACTAAACCTGGATGAACTCGGGGCACATGAAGGACAGATCTCCAACCATTCCACCTTGTACGAAAGCATCAGCAAGCCCAAAGAGAGCAACGATCAAACACAACACAACATATGCTCCTACACTTCCACTGCCATGCGAAGCAAGATCCAACTTCACCAAACCGGAACACAATGAATCAACACTAAGGAGTTATATAATCATGTTGATCTAGTGTATGGAAAAAATTAGGAGTACTTACAATGATCAGACAGAATGTGCCAGCGGTATAAAGGCTGTACCCCAAAATGTTACGAAATCTAGTATTGAGCTTAGCTTCTTTATAAGCAAGTGTTGATATAAACACATTTGCAACCAATTGGTAAACAATGGTAAGAACCCTCGAAGGATGATATTTCTGTTTGTTAAACAAAACAAAAAAAAAAAATATTCAAATTAAGCAGATATATATAACGATTGAATTGATTGGTCTTAGAGTCAAAAAAATTGCTTATAGAATCATACCGGAAAAACTTGATAATAGTAATCGGTGATGGTCAGCATTGCATTCCATGCTACGAGAGAACCTACTCCTAGAATACAACACACAAGTCGTGCTATATTCTTGCCCTGTTCATCATCAAAATCCAGTTGTCATATACACTTTCCGTAGTAAGTAACACACACTGTAGAAATATGAACTGGTGATTTATGTAGAAATGTATATCTACCTCAAGCCTGTTAGGGATATCCTCTGCTTGATTATTCATTGGGGAATCCTGCAAATTTAATTTTCAGAAACTTAGAATAGATCAATTTATATTCGTTTGGTTCCAAAACTTTCAGTCTCTTCCTCTTTCACATCAAGATACTCAACCACCGGATTAAGTACGTTTCGAACTTGTGTAGAAGCTAACTTCTTAAATCAATTTCTAGAGAATTCCTTAGGATACCAACAAAAAGACTCCCGATTTTAATTCCCAGTAAGAAACAGAGTAGGAGTGAGTTAGAATATCATTGAAGAACAAACACATGACGCTTATACAAATTAAGGTTAAGACTGTGATAGAAGATGAAAAAGAAACTCACCTAGAGCAAACCTAATTCAAAGGTAGGAGCAAAAGAAGTATGAGGTTAAACCCCCGTACATAAGCAATTATGATATAAATTTATGAAAGAATATTTGATTTCGAAATCACTGGATTTGCATGATTCGCGAGAATCGTAACGGATTTAATCCTAAACGATTTGATGACAAAAAAAGAAGAGAAGGAAAAATCGAAAAGATTCATAAATATATACAATTAATAAAATAATATAAATATGGAAAAGAAGGGGGACTATCTTAATGTCACTATTAATATATACTCAGCTTCTCTCTCTTCTCTAGAGAGAGTAAATTCTCTTTTTTTTTTCTTTTTTTGTTGCTTAAGTTTTGGTGCATTATACAGTGAAATTTCAATTAATAATGTTGATATTATATCAAAATTAGAATTTTTTATTAATTTATAGAGATTATTAATTTATCGATATACTAATTGAACTAAAAATTTAATTTGATACTATCAAATTTTATTATTTTATAGCGATTTTTAGTGTTTATAGAGTATTAATTTAAAGAAGTTATATTGTATTTAAAAGTGGCAAGTGTTAGATCATCTCCAATAGTTTCCTCTATTTTTTACTTTAAAAAAAAAAGAGTAACTCTATGATATGTTTTATTCCAATGGTACTCTATTTTAGAATGAAAAATAGAGTGATGAAAAAAACAACCTATTATATATATATAGAGTAAATCTAATTTACTATATTATAATATGAGAAATAGAGTACTATTAGAGCAATTTTACTCTAAATTCTATTTTAGATAAAAAAAAATATAGTTGGTTTGGAGTTGTCCTTACAATTACAAATTGTGATAACACTATAAACGAATTAAAAAGAATGAGTAAGACATATTAAAAGAAAGTAATGATGGAGCCCATTTTCCAGAAGTCTTAGCCCATTAGTAAGATAATAGAATGTGATGTTTGAGGTCTGGTTGATTGATGAGTCCCAGTTGAAATTAAAAAAAACAATAGGTCAACAGTTCTTTCAGTGGAGGGAAACCATAAATTGCATGCAAACACTGAATTCAACTGGGATCATCTCTCTGAAGGAGGATTTTTGTTTTTTAATGATTGAGTTAATTAGATCACTGATGGAGTCTGAGAATCTGAAGCGGTGGTATAGAGTCTTTGATTTTTTTCTCTCCAGATCTCATAGAGAAGTGTTTGCCAAGACATAAGAGATATAATGAAGATTCTTGTGTCCAGAGTTGATCAAATCCTAGAGGATTTGGTCCCAGTTATCCACGGAGAGATTCAAACAAAGTTTAGCAGCTAAAGGTGGCCATATTAATCGAGCCAAGGAGCATCTGTAAAAAAGATGGTCTCTCGACTCTAGATGATTTTTTTAGAGAAGACAACCGGGATCAACCGCCAATCCCCAAGACAGAAGACGATCCCTAATTGGGCAACGATTAAGGACAAGCATCCATGTAAAATTTTTGTGGTTCATGATTTCTTTCTGCATCCTCAGACTAATTTCCACCATGGAACATATTCCTTTCTAATTCTCAGACTGTCGTAGATCTTACGTGAAACAAACTTGTTGTTGATGATATTATTATCTCTTATGTCGTTTTGAGTTCCATTCAGGGATACCAGGAGAATCCGAGATAATCACAGAGAATAGATAAATTTGAACCTCTTCCATTTGAGCTGATCGAGCAGGGGAAATACTCCAAGTGTCACCATTCCAAAGAGAGGCCATGGATGACTTTAAGAAAATTCCGGATTGTCTACGTCAAGCAGTTCTAAAGTAGGATAATAACTGACCATAAAGACTCCATGGCGTGTACCAGAAGGAGCAAGAGCTGCCATTACCAGGTGAAACCCGTAACTATTCAGTTTCTTTGTCCCTAAGCCGAACTAGTTTCTTAAAACCCCAAGTGTGAGATTGATGCTCTTTTAGCTCCTAAAAGTTCTTGTCTTTAATAACATTCTGATGAATCCAAGCTACCCAAACAGATTCCTTGTTAAAGAACAACATCCAAAAGAGCTTCAACATACAAGTCTTATTCCAGTCTAGTAGATTTTTCAGATCAAGCCCGTCTTCTTCTCTAGGAGAGTTCACTGTATCCCATGCCACAAGGGCTGAGTATCTCCCTCTGATAGAGCCTTTCTAAAGGTAAGCTGGTTTATCATTGTTATGCATTTCTTTGGAATAATGGAAGTTGCACACCAAAAATTAATCATTCTTGAAACAACAGACTTTATAAGTTGAGGTTCCCAG